AGAGACAGAGAGAGAGAGAGAGACAGAGAGAGAGAGACAGAGAGGGAGAGGGAGAGGGAAAAGGAGGAGAGGAGAAGTTGAATAAGGGGAAGTAGAAAAGGAGAAGGAAGAAGTGAAAGAAAGAAGGAAGAGGGGAGGATGAAAAGAAAGTGGATGAGGAGGATGAAGAGGAGGGCTGGGGATGGTACAGGTTCTCATCATGAGACAGGTCCTTTCTGTTGTCTATGTGAATGCTTTCTGCTAACATCTTGGGTAACCTCATCCTTAACCATGTGGGTACATGTGCTTTTAAATATTCTGACACACATGTCCTTATGTTTCTCCTTTCAGGAACTGCTGCAGCTCGAGGACAGGCTGGGAAATGTGACTCGGGGAGCTGTGCAGAACACCATTGAGAGGTTCACTTTCCCCCACAAATACAAGAAGGTGAGGCTGCCAGGAGCCAGTCTACAGGGTCAGGGAGTGGAAGGGAGGTGTGTTGATTTGTCTACTTGACAAGTCCTAGCTTGGTTGTCTATGTGGGGAACAGCCTAAAATCCTGCTCTTGTTAGATGCTCAGAAGCTGTGAATTCTTGCTTATTCCAGAGGAGGTCAGAGGGAAGATGGAGACTTCTCATCAGCAAAGGAGGAGGGCTGTGTGTGTGTGTGTGTGTGTGTGTACATATATCTGATGGAGGTGGGCAAAAGGCTCCTGGATGGAAGGCTAAAATTTGCTTTAGAGTGTAATTTCAAGGCCAATGTCACCAAATCTGCCTTTTAAGAGTGACTGTCCTGACTGAGGAGCTTTTAAAGCCACAGAGTCACAGGCTGTGTGCTAAGTCAGTAGAAGCAGAATTGGCAGAATTATTGCCAATGAAATCTATAATATGATAAAAGACCAGGAATCTGAGCTCTTGAAACATTTTAAAATAAAATTTAAAAACAGGAAAAAGATTAGAACAACCAAGAGGTCTTTTAAAATGTGGATGGATAAACTGAGGTATATTCATACAATATTATTTCACAATAAAATGAAATTAGCTATTAATCCACAAAAAGATAAAAAGGAACATTAAGAGCACATTATTAAGGGAAGAAGTGCTTTCAACTACATGACATTATAGAAAAGACAAACTTTCAGAAATAATAAAAAGCTCAGTGATTTCCAACTGCAAGGAAGGGAGGAATGAACAGATGGAGCATAGAGGGTTTTTATAGCAGTGAGACTGCTTTGTATGATATTGTAATGGTGGACACATGATGTTATACATGGTCAAAGCCAATAGAATTCCATGATACAAAGGGTGAACCTTCATGTAAACTAAGGGACCTCAGCTAATAATAATCCACCAATATTTTTTACCAATTATAGATAAGAGTGTCACATGACATGGGATGTTAATGTTAGATACACTGTGCTGGGGGAATATATGATAACAGGTTGTAAATTAAAAGCATGATATATATTGAGGAACAGCGTAGGATATGCTTATGGTAGTCCAACCAGTGGCTGTCATCACTGATTCCTGAGTTCAACAATAGAGTGGTTGGAAGCATCTGATTTTGGGGTTAGATCACCAGCTTTGAATTTCAGTTTTACTGTTAACAGTTGTGTGACTTTGGATAACATGCTTGGCTTTCCTAGACTATGTATTTCATTTTATTCTTTATTTGTAGTAGCGTAGATTGAACCCAAGGCATTCATGCTGAGTGACATCCCCAGCCTTATTTTATTTTTTAATTTTGTGTCTGGGGCTCGCTAAGGTGCCTAGGCTGGGCTTGAACTTACACTCTGTTTGCTTAAACCTCCCAGAGTGCTGGGATCACAGGTGTACACCAGTCTACCTGGCCTTTCTTTCTTGCTTGCTTGCTTGCTTGCTTGTTTGCTTTCTTTCTTTCTTTCTTTCTTTCTTTCTTTCTTTCTTTCTTTCTTTCTTTCTTTTCTTGCTTGTTTGCTTTCTTTCTTTCTTTCTTTCTTTCTTTCTTTCTTTCTTTCTTTCTTTCTTTCTTAACATGAAATGGAATGGCAACATTAGTAGCTACCATATGGTTTACTAGAATGATGTGTAAGCTAAGGCTGTCATCTGTGTGGAGAAAGTGATCCTTTTCTGAAGATGCTTTAAGGTACTGGAGAAGAATGTGGAAGGACATGAGTGGATGCTCAGGGGCCCACAGCAGCTTCTGTGTCCCAGACTGAAGATGCTCACTCCTAACAGGGCCACACACCACACCTACCATCATTTCTATAGGCCACAAGCAAATGAAGAAAAGAACCATCATACAGTGAAAAGGGAAAATGAATGAATGAGATAAAGGCACAGGCAGAAATTAGGATCAAAGAAGAATCAAGAAAATAAAAGTATTGTAAAAGAGAAAGAAGAATTAAAAATGAGGAATGAAAAAGGCGTAGGATCCAAATAAAAGGTCACATTTTTTTTTTTTTTTTTAAATAAGGTCTTGCTGCTTAGTTAAAGCTGGCCATGGTCTCACTATGTAGCCCAGGCTGGCCTCAGGCTCATAGTGATCCTCCTGGCGAAGCCTCCAGAGTGCCAGGATTACAGATGTACACCATCAAGTCCACTAAAATGTCAAAAAAGTTTGGACTCAAACCAAGAGTAAAACAATATAAAACAAGAACTATATTTAAAATAATAATATGATACAAACAAAATTATAGCCAATGTGGCGGCACATGCCTGTAATCTCAGTACTTGAGAGTGGAGGCAGGAGAATAGCCATAATTTTGAGACCAGGATGGGCTACTTAGCGAGATCCTGTATCCAAAGGGGGTGGAGGAAGAACACTATTATAAAAAAATACATACAACCAAATGAAAAATAAGAACTGGGAAAAGATATAAAACATGTAAAATTAAAATCAAGAATATCAGAGTTAGAGGCTTGCCAGATAGCTCAGCAGACTAAAGCACCTGCTTAGGCAGAGCGCAGTGGCAGGGGTCCCACCCTAGCCTGCCCATCGGCCCCACCTCCAGGCAGGCTGAGACTGCGATTGAGCCTTGGTGCAGTGGTGTGTGCCTGTAATCCCAGCACTTGGGACACTGAAAATAGGAGAATCACTGCGAGTCTGATCTACGTAATGAGTCCCTGTAGACTGTGTACCAAATATATGAAAAAGAAAAAGAACATCAGAGTTAAAAGGAATGTTTGGGGCCAGCCAGAGAGCTCAGTGGATTAAAGTGCCTGCTTAGGCAGATGTAGGGACCAGGATTTGATCACTGGTGTGCTGTGCCGGCCTGAGACGGCGATGGAGACTGGTGTGGTGGCATGCACCTATAATCCCAGCACTTTGGCGGCTGAAAAAAGGAGGATCACTACAAGTCTGATCTACGTAGTGAGACCCTGTAGACCCCGTACTAAAAACATTAAAAAAAGGAATTTTCATACAATGGGAATGTAAGGACAAAGAGATAAGTAATATTAAAATAAATACAGAGAGAAGTTAAAGTTAAAATAAAACTTACATAGATAATGAAAACAAAAACCAGAAGACCTAAGCAATTAAAAATACACAATAGGAAATAGGTTAGGATTTGAAAAGGAAGAATAGGCTAGAGAAATGAAGGTTAGGTAGAGTAAAACAAGGCAATAAAAAGCTAAAATGACTAAGTACTGAAAGGAAACCATGACTAATGATGGAAAAAAACGATAGAAACCAGTCAAACAGTCAAGTCTCAACAGGATGTTTTATTGGACATCTCTTTTCTAGCAGGAAATCAGAAGCAGGCTACAAACACGTATGAACCTTAAACAGGCAGATCTTCATGACATTATTTATGCTGAAAACTCAGGGCAAATATCTAGGACAGTAGGTGTAATTCTGATTTTCTGGATTTTGGATGGAGGGACCATAGCCGAAGTCTTCAGAGGTTTGCAGCAAGGCACAGCGAGGCAGAAAGCAGAAGTGGTAGCTGCTCTTGTATGTCCATCAGGGGCAGCACATTTTCCAGATTAAAGCAAACTAAGAAAAAACAGAGTTTAGGACCAGGGCTCAGAAGAAGGAGACCTGGCATCTAATGTCCATTGGGTCTGCCCCGAAGGCATTCTCTGGGTGATCTTCGTCTTGTGACTCTGGAACTTTTTCTTTGTGAAGTAACTTTTACGGGTGTTTATCCTTAGAAAGAAGCCAGAACAGGTAGTTTTCTTCCTGTTTGTTGCCAGACTGTATCACAGTATGTCATAGAGATGGGAATGTGAAAGGGAGGCTGATTTCATTCACTGATTCCATTCCTTCATCCCAGGGTATTATGAGTAGCAACGATACCCCTTCTACTCAACCAATATAGGGTGGTAGGTAAACAAGGTAATCTGGTATGTCTGTACCATGTAAGAACCTGGAACTTTCTATGGAATAGTTCAGTATTTTTTTAATTAACATAGAGTTAAAAACAGGAGTATTACATCAGCAAGTAATGATAGCATGCCTGCATGACGTCTACCCTCAGATTGAAGCTGGAGCCTTCTTTTAAGGGAACTTCATGGATAGAAAGAGAAATTCAACAACACAATATAGTTCCTAACAGTGTGGTGCATGTCACAGGGGTTAATGCTGGGTGGAGTAAGTTTGTCTTTCTCAGGTGCTGAGAGCAGGAGTAAATGGATGTTAGTTGAGTGAAAGAATGAATGAATGCAGGCACGAGTGAATCACTGAAGCATGCTGGACCAGAAAGTGGATTGAGAGGCCTGGAAACAAGGTGTAGGTAGGACAGGGTGTGAGGAGTGGGCATCGTGAGGAGGAAGAGAGGAAAAGCCATTTACCTATGAGACAGACTTTGCAAGGTGCCAATTCAACAGGAACCCAATCTATCCAAACTTTGAGTTGCTTGCCTGTGCCTGGGTCAGGAGATGAAAGTCCATTTGGCCTCTTCTTCACTTGGCAGTAACCCTCTATCTCCTACAGCATGGGGGAGGGATTGGGAAGAGAGTTTAAAAGACTCGGACCCCCAGGGGAAGAGGAACTACAGAGTGAGGGGAGCCTGTGGATGGAGGCCAATGGCCACCAGGAGAGTCTGCCCCAGGTAATGAGTGCTCCTCCCTTTTCTTCTTATAGCGAAGACCCCAGGATGGCAAAGGCAAGAAGGACGAGGGGGAAGAGTCTGACACTGATGAGAAATGCACAATTTGTTTGTCTATGCTGGAAGATGGAGAAGATGTGAGGTAGGAGGCCACCGCTACGGGTCTCTCTCCCTTGTCTCTCAGGCATGGGGTCATCACCATGCTGCATGCCCAGGGGCAAGGGTGCTTGCTTGGGGTGCATGTGAGTGTGCCAAGTATGCCATGGTGTGCTTTGTGGTGGCAATAGGAAGGTGGGGCATGGAATGTTCTAGATGTGGTGCCCATGGTTGTGGACTCATGGCAGTAAAGTGAAAGAGTCAATATGATGATTGACCTAGTGGGCCTAAGACAGTCTTGGCTCTCTTTCTGGCTGACCAGAAAGGGCTTCATGAAGGAGGAGGGACCTTTCCTAACTGCCTGCCTCACCATGGCCTCACAACTACACCTCGGTGAGGCTGAGTATGTGTCCCCTGGCCCCCTCAGTGCCCCTCCTCCTGCTGCTACCCCAGCCCCTGCCTCTGCTGCCCCTCACCTGACTCTTCCTCTCTTCCAGACGCCTGCCCTGTATGCATCTCTTCCACCAACTGTGCGTGGACCAGTGGCTTGCAATGAGCAAGAAATGCCCCATCTGCCGAGTGGACATTGAGACACAGCTGGGAGCCGATAGCTGAGGGAGGAGTTAGCCAGTGGACACCCCATTTCCTTCACCAGGTCCCCCCACGGCCATAGCCCTTGCAGCCAAACTTTGCCTTCTGAGCCATTTGATGTAGAGGAGAAGCCTGCAAGCACATTTCGTGGAAAGAGGAGTCAGTGGTATCAGTGTCTGAGGGAAGGAGAGGGTGGGGGAGGACCCACCCATCCACATGGCGACTGCCCCATCCGCCTTGCTCGCAGGAGGGAGGGAGCTGGCCGTGCCCTGCCCAGAGCGGGGGTGGGAAGGGGGGGCCCACGCCGCTGAGAACTAGACGTGATCCCGAGGGCACTAGCGGATAGATGGCCCCTCAATCCTGACCTTCGAAGGATTGTATATATACCTCTGGACCACGTAGAAACCATGTAGGGGTCTCTAGCTATTTCTGTGGATGGCAGCCAGAGCATGTTAGCTTAAGAAAAACGTCGTGTGTGGTGCTCTAGTCATCTTGTGGTGGACATGTCGCTATTACTGAACTTGCACCAAATATTTCTCATTGAGTTTCTTGTTTTGGTGCCTGACTGAACCAACCAACGACAGCCCCAATTTTCCCGTCTTTATGAAAGAAAAGGAAAAAGGAATCAAAGGTGAAAAAAAAAAAAAAAAAAGCCAAATCCTGTTTACGGTGAAAAAGGATGATTTTTTTTTCATCCCAATTGGAAGGCGGGGGGTGGGGGTGTTCTTGTTTTGTTGTCATTTTTGTTTTTTCCTTGGCTTTTGTTTTTCTCATGTTTACAGTGCACGGAGTGTGGAAGGGGCCTCTCAGAAGAGAGGACTGGGACAGAGCAGATGGGTCGTAGTGGGTGCTGAGGGGATCAGGCAGGGGAAGAGTATTTCCTGGGCAGGTGAGGGAGTTCATCTAGAAGCAGCGCTTCCCAGTCCTTGGCCTCATTGCTACCCCTCTGGTGCCACCCAGAACTGGGGAGCACTCAGCTTTCTGCTCTAGCTGCCCCTGCATTCCTGGGAGCCAGGAGGCCTTTGCTCACTCCAGCTCCTTTCTTTAGGCTGGCTCTTGTCCTGTCACAAAGAGGCAATGTAGCCATGGCCTCCCTATGCAAAAAATCAGCCAGATGATGCACGTGAGACAGCATAGGCGATGGACGCTTGGCCTGGCCACAGTGCTCTCAGCCAGCACTCAGCGCCGAAGTCCAGCTCCATAGACTTTGAGCCTCCTCAGGGGTCCTCAAGTCCAGTCAGTTCCTCAGAGGTGGCCTGGCTCCAAGACCGCGTTGGCTGGTCCCCTCCCCCATCCTCCCCCTCCTGCCTCTTGTCTTCTCCGCTCCTCTTTCTTTTGCCTGTACTGAGGATTAAACCTCAAGACACTTTAACACTGAGCTACTCACCCCCACCCCCAGTCCCATGTCCCTAGCCTCTGTTTCCTTGTCTCACTCTTTGATACCTTTGGGCAAGTCCCTTTCTTTCTCTGTGCCTCAGTTTCCTTCTCCTTCTAGTAGGGAGAAACAACAGTGCATCCCCCTTTCCACTGCCTTGGCCTCACCTAGGTATGGTGAGGCCAAGTTCTCTCTGCCTAGCACGTTCTGTGCTCTGTTCTCCGTGGGAGTCTCTTGGGTTTTAGGGATGGGGTGCTTTGCAAAATAGACCTGGCAATTCCAAGTAACACCATAAAATGTTTCTTTCTTCTCCACTCCATGAGTTTTGGACCCCAAAGGGAGCTGAGAGATGAGAGGACAGAAGACAGAAGACAGCAAAATCCACCAAATTCCAACCCTAACCCAATCCCTTCTTGCAGCTAGAATTCTACCACCTCCCTTTGCCCTGTGCCCTTCTCATTGCCCCTTGTTTGCACTGCTCTGCAAGTCTCCTCTTCCCTCGGCCCCTAGCCAGTCTCAGTGCTCTCATATCTGTAAGACTGGGAATGGGACCCTTATCACGTAAATGAAGAAGTCCCATGCACATTGGGAAATTTGAGTCTGTATTGCTGCCGCCAGGGTAAAACCAGGACCAATGGGTGACCTTGACAGGGAGGCCTGCTTTGGCTTGAGTTAGAGCCTGCTGACACAGCTGGCACTCTCTTGGAGGATGGCTGCTCTAGTTACCTGTGGGCAGGGAGGGAGACACAGTTGCCAGTGAGGGTTACTCTAGACCATGTTCAGATGAAGGTGTCTCCCAGTGCCAATCTTCTGGTGTTGGATAAAATCACTGTTGAGTGCCCACCAATGCAGGTGCTGGGAAAGAGAGTTAAGAAGACAGTGGAACACACGCCAATAGTGCAAAAGTGGCAAGTAGTTAGGGTTCAGGGTCAGCAGCGGTGAGCCTCTCATCGTCCCATTTGGTGACTACGCCGTGCCAATGAGGTCTGCCCAGCAATGCTGGACATCCCACCGCTGGGCAAAAGAGTCAAGATGCTAAGGAAGCTGCTTTCTGACAGCTGTAGGGAGTTGGGAACTCTCTCCCCTCCTCTCCAATGGCTGGGTCAAAGCCAGGAATTCATCAGAAGATGGCTTTAGCCTGAAGGTAGTTAGGATGGTGCAGGCAGGTCACTCCTCTCTCAGATCAGCCTTCTGTTCCTTATCCGAGGCTGTCCTGAAAGGCTGGCAGGAGAAGGGCAACAGTAAGGAGCCAGAATAGAAGGAAAACTGTATCATGAGTTCTAGTCCTGCCTCTTCACTGATAAACTGGATGATGCTGAAAGCACCTCCTCTAACCACCACTGGGCTTCAGTTTCCCCAGCTGTGATGCAAGCAGTTTGGGTTGGATGCCTGCTCCCAACACTCACATTTTGTGATCCTCCTACCATCCACACATCTTTCAGTCGTAGAGCTGTGTGCCAACCAGGCTATCACAAAGGCCTTGTGTGGGCACGAACATGTTTCCGAGGCTGAGAGCACACATGCTGAGTGAGAGTGGGGCCTGATCCTCTCCTCCTTCTTTCTCTACAGGCTCCCTGAGTGCTCCAGGCTAGTATTAGGGACTGGGCTGGGGAGGGGGTAATTCCTGAAGTCCCCTCCCCTCCCCATCTCTCTGGGGTCCTTGTTCTCTGTGGGTGGGGACTGGGAATGGGAGGGGATGACACTCAGACCTCCCAGCTCCTGCTTCCTGAGCAGGGCAGCTGATGGGGTGAGAAGTGTGGAGCAGGGTGTGGGCTTCCGCTCCCTCAGTTTCCCGATGGGTCAGGGATCCTGGGAGAGTGGAGAAGAGGTGGGGTCTGGCCTTGGCATCTCATATTCACCACCTCCAGGAGGGCCACCTCTGGAGTCCTCCTGCTCAACTCAAGGGACTCAGACTCTTTCCTGACTGAGACGCATGAGTGCCTTCCGGGGAGAGAGCAGCCCCAGGGTTCAAGTTGGGCCTCCTAACCGCAGCCACGACCACAGCAGGTCTGCCGAAGATGCCAACCAATCAACCCAATGCCACAAGCCCAGCTGGGCCCAGACGGAGGCAGGCAGGGCCGCAGGCCCCTCTCCCTGGCAGAAGCTGGCCACCTGGTACCCTCCTCACCTCCTGTGGCAGGACTCAAGCTCCTCTCCGCAAAGGTTCCCAGCCTCCGTGCAAGTATTCTTAACTCTTTACGCCTAACGAACAAGCACAGTTTTTTCAATGGTGAAGAAAAGCACCAGACTTTTTTTTTTCCTGAAGAAATTCCCCAAGCCCCCTGCCTGTCGGCGGGATGAATACTCCCCGTGTGGGGCTGTAGCAACGTCTGTCAGGTTCCCTGTGTTTCATCTCCTGCGCGCGCGTAGAGCAAATGCTAGAGCGATTTCAGCTGATAGAAAAACAAAAATGAAAAAAAAATCCACAAAAAACAAAAAACATGGCACGTTGCTAGTTTACAGGGTTTTGTGAGTTTAAATGCCTTATATTTAACAATCATAATTTATGACTAACTTGTAGATATTGTGGGTTCTTATTTAATTATTTTTATAGTTGTTTTGCATTTTTAATTATAATTTATTTATTTAGAAAGGATACTAATTTTTTTTATTACTCCTATTACCTCATTTTGGCGTTGTTTCTGGGAGTGGAATGCTTTGCATGCATTGGTACGATGACAAACAACCTACGAATACAAAAAAAATTTTAAATAAAATTCCGCGAACTTTATTTCGTCCAAACTATCAGGGTGTGTGATTGCAAGCTGTCCTACTGTGGTGCTGGCCTCTTTGGATACATTCCATACGAAATGCAAACCTTTGATTCTGTATGCTGTGATCTAGTGAAAAACTCCAATATAGTGACTGTATTTAGCACATATATAAATATAATTTGCACTCGTCAGCAGACTGGGGTAATCCTTTCACTTGCTGCCCTTGGTGCCCTCCTCCCAACCCTGCACCCCCACTTGCCCTGCTTTTCCTTCTTATCCTTCTCACAACCTCAGCCCACCCACCTCTGTACCCTGAGGAAAGCTCAGGGCCCTAGAGGTTGCTGTCTGCACCCAGGGTCCAACTCTCCAGGTTCCAGGACTGGAGCCCTTCAGACACTGCCCGCAAGAGCATCTGCAAGGCGCAAAGCCCGCTTTATTAGAATGAGCCCTGGGTCAGGGCAAGGGGGCTGGGATTTGCAGACCAGCACCACTGCGTACTTCCTTGTGACTACGCCCTTGGTCTCTGTGAGTCTTCCTTGCTGGGAGAAGGAGGAGAAGGGGGTTCTCCAGTGTCCCTCAGATTCAGATAGAGTATGACACGGGTACCTTGCTGAATGTATCTCACCCTCTCAGAAGAGACAAAGAATGATGGGAGAAGGGAGAGGAAACAAAAGAATGGGAGGGGTGGGCTGAAGATATATCCAGGGGAGTTACTCAAAACAGGCCTCTGCAAGGGTTTTTGTCCCTTTATAAGCAGCATCCTACAGGTGATAGGAGGGTCAGTGAGGTGGACACATGCCTGGACGTGGACCATGTCTTTTCATGGGGCTAAGATGGTCACTCAGAGAATGAGTCTGAGTCCATGCCTTGTTTGGTATGGAATGCAATGGAAAGCCCCAGACTCCAGTGTTTGGGACTGGCACTCACATCATGTCACTGTCAGGAGTCTCTGTTGTTTGAACATCGTCACTGATGACAGGTTGGGACACAGAGTTTGCCTCATGGTCTCTCTTCCTATGCTCCAAGGAGCTGTGGCCAGGAGAGGTTGCTGCGGGGGTGGGAGGTCAGTCTCACTGTCCCATAGAGGAGTAGGAAGGAGGCTTGGGAAAGCAGTGGCATCAAAGGCTGGCCCAGGGCTTGGCCCAGGTACTTTTAAACCAAAAGAGAAGGTGCAGGCTCCTAAGAGGAGCCTTTGAATGGGCTGGACCCAGTGTGCTGCCTCCTGCCTTCCTCTTTCCCTTCCCTTGTTGTCCGGCTCCCCTTCCTTCTTGGCTTTTGACATAACTGCCTTTGCTCCACCCTCCAAACAAGTCCCCATGGAGATGGGTGGTGCTGGTGTGGGGCAGTGAAGACCTGGAGTAGCCACACAGCTTGAGGGGCTTGCCCGAGTGGCAGGACTGGATATGGTCCCTAAACCCCATCTCTGCTCCAGCCTGATGATGGATGGGGCGCTTCTTGGGGCTTCCTGCCTCCTGCTGCCCAGCTTTCCCTTTGGCCTCCACCCTGGAGCCTTGCTTT